GAGGGGGAGATAGGAAGGGGAGGGGGACAGGAGGGGGTGGGCAAGGATGAGAGGGGAGGGGGAAAGGGGTACATAATTTTCCTTCAGCATCGGTAAGTCCTTGAGGAGCAATACTAGAAAACAGAGATCACAAATTTTCTAACACAAAAAATGTACAAACGCACTCAGATCCTCATTTGTTTGAGTAAAGAGCAGCACATGCACACAGTAACGGTTATTTAGTGAAAGGAAAGAGTAAGTCTGACAGACAGAAACAAGACAGGAAAGAAGTAGGACCTACCAGTGGCTACTCCCTGCTCACAAACATAATATGTGTCATGACGTGGTGGAATCAGGCGCTCGTCAATTTTTGGGCATGTAGAGATATTGGTAGCATGAAAAAGCTGATTTCTTTTTTTTTTTTCCCCTTCTTCCAATGAAATAAATATCTATTATATTGAATAGAATTCAAGATGTATGTGATTGAAGGAAGTGAGGTAGCCTGGTTTCAGTGGTGACATTAGCGAGAAAATGACTTTGGTAACTCCAATAGCTAAAGAGTCTTTGAAAACTGAAAACTGAAAACTGACATACTTTGTGCCTTTAATCAATGTATTTCATTAATATTCACATGGATATGTGTTTTTATATGGACATAAAAGAGGTAAAGCCAAAAAATAAAAATTCAACAAAAATTTCCAAACTTGGGGAAAAATGTCAGTTTCTTCACTTTGATTATTTTGACAAGCGCCTGATTTCACCACACTGCCTCCCAAATAGGTTCTTTAAACCCGCTACACATCTGCAGTCAAACTCGCCGGATTCTCTCAACAGGCTGACCTGCTGGTAGAATGGAAGGTGTGTATAGGAGTGGTTCGGACTGTGCAGGTGACAATGTCAGTTTGACTGGCTTCAGTTCGACGACGTTAGACATGTTTAATATTTTTGGGGGCTTGAAACAGGAAGGCGGTTGCGTCCCTTTAATTTTTTTTTTCAGACAGGAAGAAAATTTTAACACATTTTAAACACAATTATCACTCTGATTAAAAAAATAGTTATATTTTTTAATTCAGTGTGTCAAAATTGACAAAGTCTGCGTACACTGCTCGACTTATTGCTTATTTATGAAATTACATTTTTCCTTACTTATTGTACTTGACAAGTCACTATGACAACAAGGGAACGTTTTGCTGTCTATTTGCATGGCGTCGATACACACCATGCTTCGATTTAACTGACGGGTTTACTTGACGGTTCAACTCAAACAATTTTAACTGCAGGTGTGTGGAGGCCTTTACCTTCAGGCTGGCAGATGTGCACTTACAATTTAAAAAACAAAACAAAGTCAGACAAGTTGTGAACCTACGTCAGCATCCAGCAGTTGTATCTTCCTCTCTTGTTCCTTCAGCTTGGCCAGGTAATGTTTTCTCTCGTTCCTCGCCTTCTCCACCTCCACCTGCGCCTGGCTTATCTCCTCTCGCAGAGGGATGCCACAATCTGACGGACACAGGTGAGACAATTACCCAATCTGACAGACACAGGTGAGACATTTATCTGACAGACACAGGTGAGACATTTATCTGACAGACACAGAGGACACATTTATCTGACAGACACAGAGGTGAGACATTTATCTAACAGACACAGGTGAGACATTTACCCAATCTGACCGACACATGTGAGACATTTATCTGGTCTGAAAGACACAGGTGAGACTTTTAGTAAGAGTTTTACGGCACTTGCAACACAATAAAGTCAAATAAGTGCAGAAGATTACAGGTGTAACAAGAGAGTAACAAACAGAAAAAAGAAGGAGAAGAAATAAGGACGATAGATGTTTAATAGGAAAGAAGGAGCAAACCACACCAGAGCACCCGCCAACCACCCACATAAGAACATAATAATATACCCATTTTGGGAATGGCCTATAGACAACATCAGTCAGTAGAACTGCCCTGGTGGGGACCTCCTAAATGAGATCTAGATCTAAATTGTGTCAATTGGGTTCTAAAAACACTCCATTAAAAACCAAACTTTCCCCGCGTGGTGGTACCTGACTTCTCCCTCACACTGGCCTCCACGGCGGCGTAGCTTTCTTTCACGGCCGCCATGTCCGTCTCTGCGACCCGCTTCTCATCCAGGAGACCCTCAGCCCTCGTCTTTAGCTCCACCTCCTTCTCACCGAAGCCACGAACCTCCTCCTCCTAGGGGAACCCAGAAAAAAACACATTCAAAATCATGTATAAGAAGTACTGTCGAACCTGCCATAACACTTTGCCGCCACATCTCACCGATCGGCGATGTTAACCACCCAGTACCTTTTAGTTTTAGATTAGTAGAGGTTTTACGACACTCGCAACAGCATAAGGTCATATGAGCGCCAGAAGATTAGATCTAGACGTGTTACAAGAGAGTAAGATATATAAAAAAGAAGCGGCGATAAGGACGATAGATGTTTGATAGTAGGGCTGGATCCTGCTTGCCAAATTTGAGAGTGACGATTCGCGATTCAGTCGGCTTCAAAGAATCGCGAGTACGCGAGAGCTCGCGGAACTGTGGCAGAACACTGACTGAAACGGAACAGTGTCATATCAACGCCACTTGGCGAGCGCGAGTCCCACTCTTGTTGTTCCGCCATCCTCTCCGCCCCACACCTTTTGTTGCGCTGCTCTATCAACTGACCTCAATTAGTGACCCCCATAAATTCACCCCCCCCCCCCAACCCCATGATTTGCTAAAACAATGGCTCTATCAAATTCCTTCTGTCTATTGGTTGGACCCCGTTCATTTCGTTTTAATAGGGGGGTTGGACTATACCATCTTTTGTAAAATAAGGGAGCCGTTTTAAGTGTTCCATTCCGTTCTTGCGCTCGTGACTGGACTCAGCAGTAGGTTAAACAAGCCACAAGGTGGTGACAGCGACAGGGGAGGGAATCGGGAATCGTTTGACGATACTGTTCCGCGTTCCGCTGAAGTGAATCGTGTTCTGCAGGCAAGAGTGGCGATTCAGTTCTGTTCTCGCGACCCAGCCCTATTTGATAGGAAAGAAGAAGCAAACCACACCAGAGCACCAGTTTCTTTGGATTTTCCCCAAAATGCCTTTGCCTTTGATGGCAAGGGTTTTATACAACATGAGCCTTGTGATGGCAAAGTGTTAACAGGAACCAGTGTAAAATGGAAACCTGTCTCCCCACTCCCCCTTGATATATTCCTCTTTAATCACCAGTATAAAATGGAAACCTGTTTTGTTTTAGTAAGAGTTGCAACACAATAAGGTCATTTAAGTACCGAAGATTAGAGGTGTTACAAGAAAAGAACAAGCACAAAAAAAGGAGGAGAGATAAGGACGATAGATGTTTGATAATAAAGAAGGAGCAAACCACACCAGAGCACCCGCCAACCATCCACTAAATGGAGACCTGTCCGAGGCGGAAACGGAAAGAAAAATCCCCTCCCTTCCGAGGGTTTCACCTGTCTAAGATGGAAAATGCTTTGCCCACCCAGCCCTGATTTGAAACAAAACCCGCAAGCACTGGTGGCAATGGATAAGTAAGACTGACGCCAGACCCATGCCATTATCAGAGAGGATAGCAGTAGAGAGGTGAAATCCCATCGGCTGGGCCTTTGAAACCCCTCTCCATCTCCCCCCTAAATCCCCGGTCTAAGACGGAAAATGTCGGAATTTTTTTCTGGCTCCCTTACGATTCCGTTTTACACAGGTTCGACTGTCCCCTCTACACAGGAAAAAAAACCACATTCAAAACATGTATTAGAAGTACACACGCTACACAGGAAAAATCACATTAAAAAATGTATTAGAAGTACGGACGCTACACATATAGAGGGTCCACCAAATTCCTCCCTCCCTCCACTCACCAGAGCGGTGACATCCACAGGTAGAGAGTCCTCCATATTCCTCCCTCCCTCCCCCCATTCCCTTCTCCCCTCCCTCCCTCCCCCTTTCCACTCACCAGAGCGGTGACGTCCACACAGGTAGAGGGTCCTCCATGTTCAACTCCTTGATGCTGTAATCGATGCGTGACCGTTCCCTCCCTCCACTCACCAGAGCTGTAACGTCCACAGGTCCTCCATATTCCTCCCTCCCCTCCCCTCTCCCTCCCCTCCACCTCCTCCACTCACCAGAGCTGTGACGTCCACAGGTAGAGGATCCTCCATGTTCCTCAACTCCTTGATGTCATAATCGATGCGAGCCGCTTGCTCCTTGTTCTTGTTGCACTGAGTCAACAGTTTCTTCTCCTCCTGCTGGTTCCTTCCCATCTCGTACTTGCTAGACCGCGCCTACCGAAAAACACAGACAGACAGATAAACACACAAACACACGGACAGACAGATAAACACACAGAGTCATCTCGGTATTATACAGGATCATAGAAACGAAAATGCCTCTCGTTTGGAACCAAACTATTTTTGGTTGAGAAAGTAGAATAGATTAAAAAATATCTCAACAAAACATCATGTTTGCGATAACAAACACTTGGATTCAACTAAATTAAAGATCAGGCCCGACGACTTCGTTGAATCTGAGTTCCACAGTTTCTTCTTAAAGCTTGTTCATTTGTCTTGCTTTTAACTTAAAAAATACACATACATCAAGCACAAAAACAGATATTATTGGCAATTAAAAGAGACGGGTATACACACCCAAAGAAACACAGATACAGTCCTCTCATACTAGCTAGACGCCATCTACACTGACAGACAGAGAGACAGAGAGACAGAGAGAGACAGATGAACACTGATATAGTCCTCTCATACTTTCCAGACGCCATCTACACTGACAGACCAACAGACAGACAGACAGACAAACAGACAGACAGACAAACAGACAGACAAGACAGACAGACAGACAAACAAACATCGATACAGTCCTCTCATACTTGCTAGACCCCATCTACAAACAGGCATACAGACAGACAGACAGACAGACAGACAGACAGACAGACAGACAGACAGACAGACAGACAGACAGACAGACAGACAGACAGACAGACATCAATAGTCATCTCAAACTTACTAAACCCCATCTATACACACAGACAGACAAACATCAATATAGCCATGCATGTGTGTGTATATGTGTGTGTATGTCTATGTGTGTGCGTATGTGCCTGTGTATCTTTGTGAGTGTCTATGTGTGTGTATCTATGTGTGTGTGTGTGTGTGTGTGTGTGTGTGTGTTCACCTGTTCAATCAGCCTGGCCCTCTCCTTGGTGAGGTGATCCTGGTCTCTCTCCAGAGCCTTCACCTGCTCCGCGACGTCCGCCATCAGGAATTTGACCGACATCTTGTCGTTGCTATAGTAACGGAAGGTGGGCTCGCTGTACACCTGGTCTCCCTCCAGGGTGAAGCACTGTGAGGTGAGACGGACGGAGTGAGTCACCTTACTGGGTGATATGCAGAGGGATGAGACAGAGGGACTGAGTCACCTTAGTGGGTGATACACTGAAGGGTGAGACAGACGGTTGGAGTCACCTTACTGGGTGATACATTGGGGGATACACAAAGGTGAAACACGGGGGTGATACACAGAGGGGTGAGGCGGACAGACTGAGTCACCATACTGGGCGATACACAGAGGTAAAACCCTGAGGGGTGAGATGGATGGACTGAGTCGCCTTACTGAGTGATACACTGGGGTGAAACACTGAGAGGTAAGACAGATGGACTGAGTCACTTTTCTGGGTGATACACTGAGGTGATACACTGAAGGGTGAGACAAACAGGGGGGGAGGATAAAATGAGTTACCTTGTCGGGTGATACGCTGAGGTCAAACACTGGAGTGAGACAGACAGAATAGGTCACCTTACGGTGTGATACACTCCGGGGAGACAAATTAAATGAATCGAGATGATACACTGGGGTGACACAGAGAGAATGAGACACAAGTAAAGAGAACTGGACGACTGACTGACCAGTAACTGACCACTCACCTCTCGAGCGTTCCTGGGCGGGTGTCTCTGCATGACCGTGCGGGCCTCGCCTGAGTCTTCTATCAGCACGACGCGCTCGATGGTGCGCTGGGGGTTGCCAGAT